AAAAATTTTGTTTTAAAACATCCGATTTATATTGAAATATGCTCAATAATTAAATTTGCTCAGATTATTTTTTAAAAGCATTTTACTTGATTACGAAAACTCAAAAATAAAACCAAAAAGAATATTTTAACACAAAAAAAAGAAGTTAAACTATCTCATAATTTCATTAAATCTGCCCTCGAATAAAAATTTCTTTTGCTTAATTTTAGGTAATTTTCAAGGGCATTGGTAACTTGCAATCAAACGTAGTAGTGTCATTTATTCCAATGATTTATTAATATGTAGCTTGTAATGTTTAAAGTGTTATCAACTAATACTAATCAGTATAGACAAGAAAATTTTAGTCAATTATTTATAATTAACACCTACATTGTTTTGAATGTTTAAAACCGAATGTCTTGTCAAGTTAAAGTTCAATTGTTCATTGTTATTGTGATTCTAGAAGGGGGACTAAATAGAAAAAAAAAAAATAAATAAAAAAAACTGAACAAATGACAACCTCATGAATTAAGCTAAATGCGGCATGATTTTCACTAGTTCTTGTGTACAGTCCTTTTATGACAGTTGTGGAAACCAAACAGAAAAAATAATTTAATTTAAATAAACAATTTACAATTTTGTTAAAGTTTTTCATTGTTTTTGAAATACAAAACAAAACTGAGATAATAAATCAAACTATTTTACAGTAAAATAATATTCACATGACCCAGTGACCAATGCATAATTCACATGATTTACAATACATAGTTTTTTTGGAGACATATTGTTTTTGTGACAAAAAACCCATTTAGTTATGAACTGTTAAAAATCCAACAATTTAACAAGAGGTTTGCACAATTCACCCTATTTAACATCTACAGAAACGCGAGGACGCATTCTGATATCTAAGTAAACAATTTATAATTTGTTTAAAGTTTTTTCCATTGTTTTTGAAATACAAAAAAAAACTGAGATTATAAATCAACAAAATAATATTGTAATATCAGAAAAGACATATGCCTATGTAAGGCTTAATCAGGCATTTCAACTACTTTAAAATATAAAAGGGGAGAAATTAACAAAAAATTTAAGAGCGTTGTCCCTGGAATGCAGCCCGAAATTCGCAGTAAGTCAGTAAGTTAGCATCTCAATCTTACATTTGGAATTATCAAATAAGAAAGAGCCTGCAAAAGTCTAATCTTGATCTCATATAAAAGAATTATGATCTAAAATAATGTCAAACACTTAAAGTTTGATAACACAAAAACCAAAATATTTTTGTTCAATATCATTCTGTTTTTTCTGGTCAATTCACAAGACATTGCCAAAATAATGATATAATAAGAGAGTCTGATTCCGTTATTTATGAAACAAAAATATGCTGCTTAAATTACTAATGAAAAAGAACTCACAGCTGCAGTAAAGACGATCACAAGGATGATGCAAAAATAATTTTATTAAAAAGAATTGATAGGAGAAGAAACCCTTACGTCTCCGACACTTTGTAGTTCAAATCATACTGAACATTTGGTTCAAATAAGCTAAGGAATTCTGTGCACTAAAATATACAATACAAACTAGAGGATTAATTCACACTTTTCATGCATTAACATCTACAGAAGCGCAAGGACGCATTCAGAGCCCTCATTCTATGGGCTCAGGTTTTCAATTCTGTAGATGTTGATGCACAAAATAATGTTTTAGTCATTCTATTTCGGTGATTCTACGATATGTTGTTTTCCGCATAAAGAAACTGGTTTTTGTATTGATTTTAACTTTAATTTTTGTTATTTAAATTATTAAAATCAGCGGCTTTGCATTGTATCAGAATCATGCACATTGACAAGAGCTATCGTAGGACATCATAGAGTGCTCGACTGTTCTCGGTGCTTTAAAGCTAAACTAGAAAACCTAGATTATGAAATTTCTCTATATTTAAAAGGGACACAACAATTCTGTCAAAATCCATGATAGAGTTATTGACCTTTAACAGTGACCTTCTATTATGCTAAAAAATAAGTGTATTAGGGGTTTAATGTATTCCATCATATATTATTTACAAAACCAACTTGCATGAAAAAACATAGCCAAACTGTAAAGCTGACGCCTTTGGTGTACAATATCACTCGCTCCCTATTCTTTGAAATATCAAGCTAAATAATGTGCTCGCATGGTTTTATCCATAAATGTAAGTTTTTTCTATGTAAATGTACATCTGTGTGTGCAGGTTTTATGCAGGAATGCAACTTTTTTAATTTGTTATATCTATGAAAAGTTGTTAAGATACAAATTACCTTTATTTTTAGAAATTTGTCAAAATATAATCATTTAATGGCAGCCATATTGGATTTTGAAGCCATATTTAATTTTCTACCAATGCTACTTTAGCATTTTTCCAAGAAATTACTATTTTTGACCTACCCATGTCAATCTATATCATTTTCTAATCATAAATAACTTCATTTTGACATGTCCTGTGTACATTTTTTATTTTGGCGGCCATCTTGGATTTCGGCGGCCATCTTGGATTTTGGCGGCCATAAAAAGTGGATCCCAGGCTGAAATAACTTGAAATACCATTCCTTGACACCATGCCAAGTTTCATGCTTTTCACAGAAGGTGCACAATTTTTTCACAAATTTCTTGGACTAATTTAGACAGTAGCAGAATAAAAATGTATTTATATACATATATTTTCTTGTCACATCAAACCCGAACATCATGAATGAATTAATTTAGTGTACAGAGTTCTTACCGAAATAAAAATATGCAGCATAACATTAAACTATTAAAATATATTCATCAATGTCATTGACAACAACAAATTATTTGATGGAATTATTCTGTATCAACTCGCATAGGTTGAGAATCGAATGTGGTCTCCCTATTTGACAAGTTCTGAAAATTGAGCCGTGATATTCCAATCAATCGACTCTCCCCGACACTTTTTATTGTTATAGTTCCATCTTCGTTGGTACATGTCAAGTTTTTGCTACAATTTAGCGTTTGTATTTGTATATCGTCTGTGCTTCTATATCTTAATCTCAATTCAACAAGATGAGGAGATTTATTTTTTTTTTTTTAGTATCAATGGTGGATTTAAATCAACCTTGTTGTTTTGATATTGCATTTGCTGCTGCATTTCAAATTCTTTCTTTAGCTCTAAAGCTTTAATTTCTACACTCCCACACAATGTCAAGTTCATGTTTTCCGGAAGAATATTTTTTTTGTATGGTTTCATCTTCAAAACACTGACACGATATGGTGTATCTGAAAAGTCGTAGTTTGCATGAACAGCTTTTCGTGTGAATGGTGATGGTTTTATTACCTTACTTATCTTCAATATTTTGTCTTCATATTTATGGCAGGCAATAGTATATTCGGGACCGGGAACAGAAACCTTCTCTGTTACATCAGGTTCTGTGTATAGAGTCTGCCACTCTGTAAGATACGGCTTCATTGTGTTAAATACGATACTTCTAAGTACAACATCTTTTTTCAAATATATTTTAAACGATGTGGACATATCTTTATATCTTTCTTCGGTACCATATTCGGATTGCACTGTTACGGATTCACTATCTTGCACTCGTTTAATGCACGAGTTCGATGCAACCCTGATACCGTCAACTTTGTTTATGAAAGCGGCGATATCAGAATATTCCTCTACAGACAAATATCCTTTTCTGCTTATTGACTCAACTAATGATTTATTTGTAAGAGTTGGAATTCTTAACTGAAAGAACGCTTGACCCATAATCTTACGAGCGTTTGTACCGTTTTGCTCAATACCTCTTTCATCAAGTTTTTTCATTGACCATTTTTCCGCCGCTTCTATGATGTTTTCTTCTTTGGTGTTTAATGTGTCACCTTTTAAAATATACAAAAGTCCTGCTTCTGATAAATCTAAGAAGCCATCTGACTTTAGAACCTCTACATTATTATCAATAAAGGAACAGCAGATATCTCTAAGGCTTGCGAGTTCATATAGAAGTGCATGTGTTAGAATACCACAAGCATTGGTCGGTGATAATATTGTGCAAAGAAAATCGGCACAGTATTCAACCAAGCATGAGACCTGATAGTAATGAGCAGTTTTCATGAGTGAGAACACTATTTCCGCTGTAAGGTTGACAGTATCGCTGTAGATATATCTAAATAGAAATATTTAAAATAAAACATGTCTCATATAAATAGCTCATATCAATAACAAAATCCTCGTCACACGAAATCACGATGGTGAGAAATCGAATCAACGAAACCACAATGGTGTAACTTCGAATGTACGATGATGATTAGTTTAATCAGGAAACCACGATGGTCCATATATAATTTCGCGTTTTCGTCATCATATTCGTCGTGGTCGAAAAAAACATGATGAAAAGTCGAAAGTACGATGGTTAAAGTCGAGTTTCCACAATTTCGACTTTTCACCATCGTACTTCCGACTTTTCAACAGCATACCATTGACTTTTCACTATCGTAGTGTCGTTTTTTCGACTTTTCCCTGTTTTCGTGTTTTTGTTTTTTCGAGTTATGTTTGTGTCGCTATGATCATAATGTGACACCTTATGATTGCTATTTGTCAGGTGGTAAGGCAACGTAAACTAAAAATAAAATGGCTATTATACGAATGATGAAACTGGTGATCTGGAACGAATACGAATGACGAAAATGGTGATGGGGAACGAATACGAATGATGAAAGTGGTGATAGGGAACGAATACGAATGATAAAATTGGTGATGGGGAACGAATACGAATGATGAAATTGGTGATAGGGAAACGAATACGATTGATGAAACGTGTGATGAGGAACGAATACGAATGATGATATTAGTGATAGGGAAACGAATACGAATATTGAAATTGCTGAAAGGGGGAAGAATACGAATGATGCAATTGTAGTGGGAAAACGAATACATAATTATTAATAATGACTGCAGAATTGTTGAGTAAGTATACACTTAATTACTTCCCATAATGTACTTAAATGCTGCATTATGAAAAATAGTGATTACTTAAAGACATTGGGAGAACATGCATTATACAGATGTAAAACTGCTTTTGAATAAGTCTTCAAGCGTTAAAAATGATATTTTCTTCTTTTATGTCTACCTTTATGTAGCAATCTGACATGCTTACATATTGATATCTATATCTATATTCGTTCGTGAAATCTGCAAAACCCTCTAAATATTCTATCAAGGAAGTCGAGCAAATATTTTGTAAATGTAATAGAAGCAAGTAATCATTAATTTATAAGATCTTTGCTAAAAATCTACTGATTAAGGAAAGAGTCATTTCTTTCATTTACCACAGTAATGCTTGAAATATATCTGATTCGATATTTTTCACTTCCACAACCCTCTTTCCATCAGCACATGGACCGAAGAACATCGCCTCAAAAACTGGGCTTCTTGCCGCTAGGACTATTTTATGCGCTTTTATGATTCCTTCTGCATCATGATCTTTACACTGAAACTCAACATCTGTCCAAAGACCTCTATCAAACATTTCCCCCATACACGCCCCTACAGCCTTTCTTTGTCGCCAGTTAGCGTTCTGAATTTGCGGTTGTTCTTTGGAATTTTCCATTTCGTTCCTGGATATCTTTTTATTCCATAAGAATGAATTCAAGTACGCAGACATTAATCATGATGAAGAAAAGGAACAATAAATAAAACATAATGATTACATGATATTAGGATGAAACTTCGGACTAGAATATTACAGTTTTAAAGTCGTCATTTATTTAAATATGAAACGTCGTGGTAAATTTGTGTCATGAAAAAGATTTACCTTACCTTTGAAGAAGGTACGTACCACAATAACTAAGCAATGAAGAAATGTGTGCACTGTTTTTCTCAATAAAATCATATAAATCAATTGTTAAACTCACATGAATGTGACCTGAGATAACCTAGTGTAGTCAAATCAAAATTTATTAAGCAGAATCAAGACAATATCGGAATGTTTATGTGCTATCTTTAATTCTTTATTGATCAGATAGATACTCGAATGTGGTGTAAGTTTAGATCGTTGCTACATGTATTAATATTATTTGAATATGTTGAAATTTGTTTGCTTGGTTTAAATTCAAAACGGCACTGATATAAAAGGTATGTTTGCCAAATTCTAATCTAACTGGTGAGGCCTAAAAGACACACGAGTAATAAGACCTTCCGTGCGAATTAAAAGGCGTAATAACGCGAAAAAAAAAAGGCGTAGCAACGCGAATAAAGGCGTTATAACGCGAATCAAAAGGCGTAATAACGCGAATAAAGGCGTAATAACGCGAATCAAAAGGCGTAGTAACGCGAATAAAGGCGTAGTAACGCGAACCAAAAGGCGTTATAACGCAAATTAAACACATTATAATGCCAATTTAATACCATATTTATACTAATCAAATTTGCGAGAAAGGAAGACCAATATTGATCTGAATTTATTGCTCAAGATATAAACTCGTATACAATAATACAATATACATTTACAATAACTTTCATTCTATTTGCACAGTAATTATGCAAACTATTTGTCATAATCTAATAAAGACTCTTTAATATTTGCCAATATAAGATGACTTGGTGACTTATAGGTTATAAAGTGTTACCTCCTTCAAATAACAATCCTCCTACGAAGTTTGAATATTGTGGGCCAAATGGAACTTACGTTATGCTCCGAAACCAAATTGCTTACGGACGGACGGACGGACGGACAGACAGACAGACGGACGGACGCACGTTCCAACATTTTGGGTTTAGTGGCTATTTTCTTTGTTATTTTCTTTGTTCTCTTAAGGGCTACTAGCCCATAAACCCTTTGATCACGGATTGAACCTATTGTTCTCTTTTGTTCTCTTTACTGTTATATAGCCCCTAAACCCAAAATGTTTGCTCGGACGTACGGACGCCAGGGGGTATAACATAATATGCCCGAAATTCTTTCGGGTATATAATAAAACGTACATCTAGATCAATTCATTTAAATCAACATTGTTCTTCCTTCCATACATTAATAGGCCACTGTTTGGAATTTATATGGTATTAAATTAGCGTTATAACGCCTTTTGTTTTGCGTTATTACGCCTTTTGGTTCGCGTTATTACGCCTTTTGATTCGCGTTATAACGCATTTATTCGCGTTAGTACGCCTTTTGATTCGCGTAATTACGCCTATTGTTTTGCGTTTTTACGCGAATAAAGGCGTTATTACGCTTTTCAATTCGCGTTATTACGCCTTTTGGTTCGCGTCACTACGCCTTTGTTCGCGTTATAACGCCTTTGTTTCGCGTTATAACGCCTTTATTCGCGTTGCTACGCCTTTTTTCGCGTAATTACGCCTTTTGATTCGCGTTATTACGCCTTTTGATTCGCGTTATAACGCCTTTATTCGCGTTGCTACGCCTTTTTTTCGCGTAATTACGCCTTTTGATTTGCGTAATAACGCCTTTATTCGCGTTGTTACGCCTTTTTTCGCGTTGCTGCGCCTTTCGATTTGTGTTGCTACGCCTTTTGGTTCGCATTACTACGCCTTTATTCGCGTTATAACGCCTTTGTTTCGCGTTATAACGCATTTATTCGCGTTAATTGCTACGCCTTTTTTCGCGTAATTACGCCTTTTGATTCGCGTAATTACGCTTTTTGATTCGCGTTATTACGCTTTCGATTCGCGTTATTACGCCTTTTGATTCGCGTTACTACGCCTTTATTCGCGTTATTACGCCTTTGTTTCGCGTTATAACGCCTTTATTCACGTTGCTACGCCTTTTTTCGCGTAATTACGCCTTTTGATTCGCGTAATTACGCCTTTTGATTCGCGTTATTACGCCTTTTGATTCGCGTCACTACGCCTTTATTCGCGTTATTACGCCTTTGTTTCGCGTTATAACGCCTTTATTCGCGTTGCTACGCCTTTTTTTCGCGTAATTACGCCTTTTGATTCGCGTAATTACGCCTTTTGATTCGCGTTACTACGCCTTTATTCGCGTTATAACGCCTTTGCATTTTTATTTTTTATTTCATTTGACAGTATTAGGCTTTCGTAATTCATTCTTTTATTCAAATTAAACATATTCAGTTAGAATTTCATGGATTTCAATGCATTTCTAAGATAAAAATATTTTACTCAAAGATGAGCAAAGCATATCTTTAAAAGGTAACAATTGTCATAATATTATGTGGTAAAATCAAGTTTAAACAGAAACATGGATTTTGCTCAAAAGATTTTAAAAAATGTTTAAAACTAACATGAAAAAAAGAAGCTGGGTATAAATTGTCAATTTTGATAAAGATTAGAAATGGAGTCTGATACACCATTTACCAAAATCATTAACCAGTATTTCAAATAATTAGTAACATTATTCTAAGGGAATGACAAATAAAGATTTTTTCGTCATTCTGAAATATTTCGAGAATTACATCTACATGGTTTTGCAGACACCTCTCGATATTTAAAACAATATTCTTTGTTTATTTTTGTCATTTTGTTAACTTGAACTAGTGGGGTTTTTTTTGGCGGTATCTGGCATATTGAAAAGAATTCTTTTTTCATTTATAGTACATTTAGTTCGCAGTAATCGTCAGGTATTTTAATGCAATTAGGTTGAATAGCCTTATGATGCACTAGAAATCAAATATTTATTGTCATTTAATTATCATATTTAAGTGAATTGGGATAATATAATGGACAGTTTGTAAGAAATTCATATACATCAAACCTACTCTTGGGACATTTTTCACATACAACGAAAGAATTACACATTGAAGTTGTTTGGAAGTGTGTTAAAAACATATGATCCGTTGTAACACATATTTCGTGTTCTAGATTCATCAGATCAATGCTCATTCTACTCATTATAAACATTTTTTTCAAGCAGCATTTTCTAAGAATATGCAAATGACACATTTCTGTTGTTTTCATCAATATTTGCAGACCTATCAACTGAAAAGAGAAAACAAATTTATCTCCCTTAATCAATATAGTCGAAACAAATGGTACACTAAATAAAGCAAACGCATCAATGATTTCAATTGATAAATAAAGTGCCTAAATATTTATTAGCTTAGACACAATTTATCATTGTGTAATTGCCCGAACAAGTAATCAAGAAAACTGCTTTAAAATAAAAAAATTCCATACTAAGGATACTCGATAAAAAATACCCCCTCATATTTTTTCATTTTTTATCTTAAATTATGGAGGGGGGGGGGGGGTTGTTTCAGATAATATTATTGTGCAGTCCTTTTACTTGAAAGTCCAGTAACGCTTGTATGTGGAAATACAATCTGACTAAAGTTCAGACAGATCTACTTATTTCTTGTATGTATATCTGAAGACGACCATATATGTTTCGCCTTATTTTCAATTCGGATTTCCCGAGAAAGATATGTTTAGCCATGCAATCAAACCAGTTTTTACATTGGCATTGTAAGAAGTATCAAAATACCGTTACATGTTAAAGTAAAACAAATTGTTGATTTTTGTGAGAAAAAATATGTTTGAAGTTATTTTGAATCTTGAAAAAATAGTCAATTTTTAATGGGAAAGATTGTTTTGCCAGTTTACCTGTCGGCTATATGGACAACGCCATGTTTGTTCTGGCAATCATGAAATTTACCCACTCAAGGGTTAAAATTAGAAACCACATCGCTTTCAAAATTCTTGAAGCTCGCCGATGTGTAAATAGTCACCAGAAATGATTTCGTATATGGTCACGCTCAGATCTACAGGCGGAGCGTTATTTGAGCTGATTTTAATCACATTGGTGAATTTTATAGTTATAACGCAGAACAGCGCAGTTATATGGCCGAAAAGAGCAACGAAATAATTCAATCTTACAATAAATCAAATTAAAAGAAACAAAATAAACCATACGGTTGCTGAGCCATTATATTTTAACCTCGTTTAAAATATTTCTAGGAAAATGTTTGTTTTTCGTGAGAATGACGACCTGGCTAGCGTATTGAAGGCGACTTTTGGTTTCGTCGATTTGCATTAATACAAATTAGGTATATACTACATATTATTGTTTAAGATATGCAGTATGCTTTAGACATTTTGTCAAACTTCTCGTGGCTGAAAATAAGCAGTTAAATAGTGAATGAAACAATTTTACGAGGTAACGCTGATATTGTAAATGATGCACTGAAGCAATGCCTTATAAAAGTAGCTGTTTTATATTTATCTGCTTCCTGTTAGCATTATACCACTAATAGAGTGGCAAATGTTTAAGGCATATCGAAAATCAAAACAATGTTTTTTGTTAAATGAGACGTTTTACTTAATATATACGACAATACGCACATGATTCAACGTTACTTTTGTATAATTTCTGCGTTTTTTTCAAATTCTTGCATCACTGGATATACACTCACTGTTGTTTCGTTGTCAAAAGTAATATTCCATTTTAAGAAGTGAAAATCATGAAATGAAAACACATATGAACGACATGGAAACTTTTTGTCAGACCTTAAGTGACCTGTCAGATAATTTCAATGAACACAAGTATTCATGTAGCTCCTCAATAAGTGCCATACAAAGAGAAAACAAAGATTTTAAAACTGAAGTAGAGCAATTGAATTCAATAAACTTGTACACAACTAAATGAACAAGTTTTGAAATTGAGATGTAACAGTGTGCGTGATAACCTCCTTTTTATAGGCATAAAAGAAACAAACGATGAAAATTGTGAGGAAATCCTGCACAATTTCTTGACTGAACACATCACTAATGATGATCCCGTTAACCCAGACAAAATATAAACATTGACAATCAAAACAGATATATCCATAATTTTACGATACT